TTATAAATACAGCCGATTGTCTTTAATATCGCGTAAATAAAATATTTTACTTCCAAAAGGTTAAAGGTCAAATTTCAAAGTGTAAAATTCAATGTAAAAATATATCAGTCAGCCCCGTGTTAAAAATTAAAAAAGAACATGGTAGAATGACACTTGAACTCTCCTCTATATCCTACCAAAAACAAATCGATGGAAACTCGTTTAGTTTAGAAGTTATTAACCAAAACATAATATAAATCAAGTTTTTTAAACTAAATTTTTATACAAAATAACATAAGAAATATATGTTTATAAGTTTATATTAAAACTCAAGCAACTAAAAATGTAAGTGTGTGGTCTAAAGCGATAACTTTTAGACCGCTGTTGGTATTTAAATGAAATGTCAATTTAAATATGTATAAGGTGGGATATATACATACTATTAACAGTGAATTCTTCAAATGTAAAAATTGTTAAATGTTATACAGAACTATATCCACTGCTTGCAGTGTTTATATACTTCCTTTTGTTATTGAAATAAAAAATATATCTAAGGTTGTTTTATTAAAGATAAATTTTCTCAATGGAAAAAGCTACATCATCTGAGAAAATTTTAACCTTTATTTTATTAGTATCTATTGGTATAAAACAATGGTATTTTTGAGTGCATGGGATAGTCCTTAATCCAAAAAACCGATTTTTTAGAAAATCTCCTTCTTCTTTATAATCAACTTCAGTAAGGTAGATAAAATTAAATTTTTTTTTTGGTTTTTTTTGACACCAGTCAAATAAAAATAATGGTGTTGTTATTTGGTCAAATAAAAATAATGGTGTTGTTATTTGGTTTTCAAGGCTTGAAATTCAAGCGGTCGTTGTAGGCTTGCTCTACGAGACTCTCTTTTCGCAGTGCCTCCAAGTCCATCACTAGGACTTTTACCATGACTGGTTGTGAAAAAATGCCACTCAGCTTCACATCCAAAATCCTTATTGTGATAGCATATGTAACGTCATTGCCTTACGTTCTTTGGGTTCTGATCAATGAGTTACTATTGTCTGAAAAACCTGAATATCTGATTGGGTTTTGATGTTAACACCCATATTAATTGCCCTCCCTTTTGGTAAATATACCACCATGATCATATTTTAATTGTCTAAAATACAATCCCTAATTAATAAACTTACTTTGCTGCAATTCTAATCCATCTATCCTACTTCATCTCCACAACTCAAATAAAAAGATTTAATGCACCATATTTTCTTTTAAATATTCAAAATTAACAGACAATTCATTTATTTAATTTAAATAAAAATAACTAAAAATTAATATACAAAACTTATTAAAGATCAAAGTTGTTTCCATATTTATCTTATAACAACTAAGAAATTCAAAAAGTTATTTACCAAAAAAAATTAAGAGAAAATTAAAAATTTACAAAGAAAAACTTACATACATTGACTGCAACGACGACATGTACATATCCGCATCACAAAGACAATGGCTTATAGAACAATAAATATTTTTTTCTTTACATTAATTAATAAGTTAAACAAAATAAAAACATTTTCAAATTAAGAAAATCAATTCAATTAGAATTTTTAAATTTAAAAACAAAATAATTAAATATGAATTATTCAAATTTATAACAAAACAAAATTTAACAAAAAAAAAAAAAAAACTTTTAGATATCAACATTTAAAATATGATTAATTATTATTTTAACAGCATTTAAATATACACGTTCATTCAATCTTCACAAGTTAGTCACAGGTTAGCTTTACATTTGATCCAAAATTCTCAGAAATAAGGCACACCTCTTGGTTTACTCTTTTATTTGTTGGTTTATTTTCCTTCACGTATTTATTTAGCAATATTGATAAATTTTCATTAAATCATGCGATTATACTCAAATTAGTATGTTTAATTACATTGAAATAAATTTTGATTTATATGCACAAAAATAGGAATAATGCATGCAATTTTTATCACTGTTCTTTTGTTTCATTTTAATTAATTCTTAAATTTTGAAGAATTTTAATTTTCAAATAAGTTTTCTTTCCTCTCTGCCATTTTCATTTCCTTCTCAACGTTAGTTTTCATTTGAAAAATTCAAACATTTTATATTCACATTTATCTTGTTAGGTTTTGATAATTAAATTTTCAATTAAATATGTTTTCATTCAAATATATTGACATGTATTTCTTTTCATTACAAAGTTCACTCATATTCCTTTTTTATACCCTCCACCACCATCAGTGGTGATAGAGGGTATATATAACTTTGTCATTCCGTGTGTAACACCAAGAAATATTCATCTGAGACCCAACAAAGTATATATATTCTGGGTCCTTATCAAATTCTGAGTCGATTTAGCTATGTCCGTCTGTCCGTCTGTCCGTCTGTCTATGTAAAACACGCTCACGATAAAACGAAGCAATAGAGTTTAACCAAATTCACCCAAAATGTTCTTCATTTTCCTAAGTTGTTTGGTATTGCAAATGGGCAAAATCGGTTCACACCGGGAAAAGTTATGAATCAAAATTTAAAACAACCTCGGAAAAAAATAAGCATTTTTTACACATTATGATATAATTTTCTCGAAAACTATGCAAGATAATTTCATGGAAATCACCATATATTCGTTTCTGCACAAGATCTTGATCCCTGCTGAAAATTGCCAGAATCGGTCCACAATTTCATATACCTCCCATACAAAAGTACAAATTCCCGGAAAATGGGTTTTTTGTTAATAACTTCCGCCACAATGTCGATATCTTCACAAAATTTCACAAATTAAAATCTTATGTCAATAGAATTCTTCCAGAGGAAAAATTTTATGGATCGGTCCATAATTGGACATAGCTCCCATACAAGGTCCCCTCCCGAAAATCACTTAAACGCGCATAACTCATTACTAAATTAAGATATCTATATAAAATTTGGTACAAGTATTGCCCACATGCATAGAAATATTACCGTGAAATTTTTTTCCGATCGGTCCATAATTGGTCATAGCTCCCATACAAGGTCCCCTCCCGAAAATCACTTAAACGCGCATAACTCATAACTAAATTAAGATATCCATATAAAATTTGGTACAAGTATTGCTCACATGCATAGAAATATTACCGTGAAATTTTTTTCCGATCGGTCCATAATTGGTCATAGCTCCCATACAAGGTCCCCTCCCGAAAATCACTTAAACGCGCATAACTCATAACTAAATTAAGATATCCATATAAAATTTGGTACAAGTATTGCTCACATGCATAGAAATATTACCGTGAAATTTTTTTCCGATCGGTCCATAATTGGTCATAGCTCCCATACAAGGTCCCCTCCCGAAAATCACTTAAACGCGCATAACTCATAACTAAATTAAGATATCCATATAAAATTTGGTGTAAGTATTGCCCACATGCATAGAAATATTACCGTGAAATTTTTTTCCGATCGGTCCATAATTGGTCATAGCTCCCATACAAGGTCCCCTCCCGAAAATCACTTAAACGCGCATAACTCATAACTTAATTAAGATATCCATATAAAATTTGGTGTAAGTATTGCCCACATGCATAGAAATATTGCTGTGAAATTTTTTTCCGATCGGTCCATAATTGGTCATAGCTCCCATACAAGGTCCCCTCCCGAAACTCACTTAAACGCACATAACTCATTACAAAATAAAGATATCCATATAAAATTTGGTATAAGTATTGTCCATATGCACAGAAATATTACCGTGAAATTTTTTTCCGATCGGTCCATAATTGGTCATAGCTCCCATACAAGGTCCCCTCCCGAAAATCACTTAAACGCGCATAACTCATAACTAAATTAAGATATCCATATAAAATTTGGTGTAAGTATTGCCCACATGCATAGAAATATTACCGTGAAATTTTTTTCCGATCGGTCCATAATTGGTCATAGCTCCCATACAAGGTCCCCTCCCGAAAATCACTTAAACGCGCATAACTCATAACTAAATTAAGATATCCATATAAAATTTGGTGTAAGTATTGCCCACATGCATAGAAATATTACCGTGAAATTTTTTTCCGATCGGTCCATAATTGGTCATAGCTCCCATACAAGGTCCCCTCCCGAAAATCACTTAAACGCGCATAACTCATTACTAAATTAAGATATCCATATAAAGTTTGGCAGAAATATTGCTCATATACAGAGAAATATTACTGTGAAATTGTTTTCCTATCGATCCATAATTGATCATAGCTCCCATACAAGGTCCCTTTCAGAAAAACACTTAAAGGCACATAACTCATTACCAAATAATGATATAAAAAAATACTATTTTTGTTCATAAATACTATTTTGTAATGCAAAAAGCACTTAATGTTATTTCAAAAATTTTTCACGATCGGTCTATATTTGGTCATATTTCTCATACTAGGTCCTGCCCCTAAAAGCGATTTAACCGTATTTAACTATTTGCATTATAAATTTGTGTAGAACAAAATTATATATATGTATGTATTTTGAAAATCCTTAAATCTTTCACACACATGCAAATACTAGATATCGCTAAAGCATATCTTAGGGCGCTATAAAAATTTAAAAGGAAGTGGCGTTTCTAATGTTCAATAAATCTTGGAATTGTAGTAGATTTAAGATGTTTAAATCTTGGGTTTTTTCTATTTATGACATGAGAAAACTTATTTCTACAAATATTTTATTAATTAGAAATGTATTAATACAAAAGTTGCTGGTGGAGGGTATTTAAGATTCGGCTCAGCCGAATATAGCACTCTAACTTGTTTTTGTTTTTTTTTTCCTCCACTAATTATCCACATGTCTATTAAAATAATCCTTATCCGTTTATTAAAATATCCGTTTAACTTCACTGGCTGAACATGTCCTGCCAAAATATTCCTTTCATAGTGTCTATTTTAATTATCCTTTCAAATTCGTCCATTTTTCACTTTTAATTTACTAAGAATATCCTTTTACTCTATTTTCAAGGCACAATATTTTTACACTCCACACTATTATTTTTAGACTTTTCAACCGAACAATTTAACAATCAAAACTATAATGAATAATTTCCTACAAACCTAAAACTATCTAACAATCAAAATTTCCAAAACCATAGCCTACGTGATGAAAAAATAATTTCCTAAACTACAATCACATATAATTTTCAAATTTCAAATTTCAAAAATAACAATTTACCTACATACAATTTTTCTACATTATTTTCAACAAAAAAACCAAAAAGCTAACTAGATTAAAATTTTCAAATATTAAAACATTTCAAATTTCATTTTCAAATTTCAAAACAGTATACCAAAGCATTTTATGAATTCCCAAAAATCAAAGGTAATTTGATTGAAATAAAAATAAACATATTTGAATTGCAATTTAAATTTGAAGCAAAGTCAATGCTAACTTAATCAAAAATATTCGAATTATAATTTGAATTTGGGTAAAAAGCAAGGCACACTTAATTAAAAATAGAAATATTATTCAAATTGAAATTTAAAATTTAAATAGGAAAAAATCTAAGCCAACTCAGTTGATTCTACCTTTTCCAAATTTGAATTCAAATTCAAATTTTAAAATAAAAACATAAATCAAAGCTAACATGATTAAAAATAAAGAAAAATATTCAAACTAAAATTTAAATTTCAAAATAACAAAGTCAAAGCCAACTGAGTGAAAAACCTTAAAAATATTTAAACTAAAATTTGAAAATAAAAAAAAATCAAAGACTACTTAGTTGAAAATTTTCAAATGTTCAAAATTGTAAGAAGACAAAAAAAATAAAAGGTTACTCAATTGGAAAATCTAAAAATATTTGAATTTAAATTTAAAATTGAAAAAGTAACGAATATTTATGAACAAGTTAAAAATTAGACCCCAACAAACCAAAACATTTTCAAAAATTCCATGTAAAGGGAAATGTTTTGGGACTCTGTGCCATTAAAATACATGTTCCTACGTGTGGCACGACCCACGATAATAGCCGGGCGAAATTATATCCTTATTGTTTAAGATCCTTTCCATGAAATACACCTATAAATTTACCATTCAAATCAGTCAATCTGTATAAGCAGTTTCCTAACGTTGATTCTATTCGGGCCTTAACGTACTTTGGGGCCAATTTAGCATTAAATTGTCTAGAAAAATCACTCTGTTGGAAATTCTTTCTGTAAACTTCCTGACCAGGCTCATACCTTACATTTCGACAACCTCTTAAGTTGTATGTACGTTCGGTCTTTTTATAGGTCTTTTCCAAGTTTTTCAGTATCGAGTCATTAATAAGTTTCATCTGATCTGGTTGGCCAATAATCTCAATCTCCCCGTCATTGACATTCTCCAAATTCCTAAGGATGTTGTATGCAGAACCATGTAAAATCATATTTCTACCAAATAAAGCAAAATATGGAGATATTCCTATTGAAGAATGTACCGAGCTTCGAAGGGATTGATTAATCTGACAAATGTTCTCATCCCATACCGTTTGATTTTCACAAACATATGATCGAATTGCAGCCAATATCGACCTATTTACCCTTTCAGAGGCATTACTCTGAGGTGCATAGGATCCACTAAATGTTTGACGAATACCATAAATCCTACACATTTCAGCGAAGTCCTTAGATGTAAATTGACTCCCATTGTCACTATGTATGGTCTCAGGAACACCAAACATACTGAATACATTAGACTGTAAAAATTGTATAATACTATTCGAATCTGCCTTTCGTAATGGGTGAATAAAACAAAACTTACTAAAATGATCCAAAATAACGAGCATGTATGTGTTTCCGGCTTTTGAACGAGGATACGGTCCTAACAAATCAATAAAAATCTTCTGAAATGGTACTTCGGTGATGGTCTGTTTTCCCATCGGTGGCCTTGTCACATAGTTTGGTGCTTTGGTAGATTTACATATTTCACAACTACCTATGAAATTCCTGACTTGAATTGCCATGTTAGGCCAATAATACTTTTCATGTAGTCTAAAGAGAGTCTTAGAAATCCCACCATGGGATGCTTGAGGAGGAGTATGTGCAAACTTAATCAGATCCTCAGTGAGAGAATTTGGAACCCAAAACTTCCATACCAAGGTATCAGAAATCGAATTTCCTTCCGAAAATCCCACTCTTTTATATACATATTTTCCAGAAACTTTAATGTCCGGTAACGATTCCCTATTGTCCTCACAATTTTGTCTTAAAGATTTATAGTCCTCACTTTCAAACTCATTACTATCCAAATCAATATCCAGAACACATTCAGAAAGTTCAGCAATTTCGTTCTCAACAAATGAGCGAGACAATGCGTCAGGTATAATATTCTCTGAACCTTTCCTGTGTTCAATCTCAAAGTCATATCCTTGTAAGGCAAGACTCCAACGAGCCAGTCTACCAGACAAGTCCTTTTGGCTCATCAACCATTTTAAGCTGGAATGGTCGGTTATTATTTTGAAAGGTTGCATTTCCAAATAAGGACGAAACTTTTTTACAGCTGACACCGCTGCCAAACATTCAAGTTCCGTAACGGAGTAATTCTTTTGAGATTTATTTAACTTCTTCGAATAAAAGTAAATAGGCCTCTCAAAACCGTTTTCATCAATCTGACAAAGGACTGCACCAATTCCCGAATTGGAAGCATCACACTGAACCATAAAAGGTTTGGAATAATCCGGATGAACTAGAACCGGAGCAGTTCTAAAGCTTCCTCGGTCATTTCAAATTTCTTTCCCTTCTTTATTAAATCAGAAATGGGAGAGGTCATAGTAGAAAAGTTAGGAACAAACTTACGATAATAATTGGCTACACCAAGAAACTGTCGTACTTCACGAACTGTGCGGGGGATTTTGAAATTCCTAATAGCTTCTACTTTCTCATCTGATGTCCTAATAACCCCACCACCAACTATAAAACCTAAATAGTTAACCTCTTTCATACAGAATTTAGATTTAGTCACATTTATTGTCAAACCACTTTTGCGCAAACATTCAGCAACCTTTTTCAATAACAAGAGGTGATCATCAAAATCCTTTGAAAAAATAAGGAGATCGTCCAAATAAACAAATACCCTTTCCCTCAGCTCTGACGGAATAACCTTATCCATTAGCCTCATCATTGTCTGCGGCGCATTGCAGAGACCGAATGGCATGACTTTAAAGTGATAGAGAGGTCTACCGGCGACTGTAAAAGCTGTTTTCTCCTGACTAGATTCCTCCAACGGAATTTGCCAGAATGCGTCCTTAAGATCTATTGCACTTATGAAAATTGTATCCTCCAGTCTCATCAATAGACCCTCAATATTCGGAATGGGATACGCATCTTTGACCGTAACTTTATTAAGTTCACGACTATCCAGGCAAATTCTCGTCTTATTTGGCTTAATGACTGCAGTCACGGGCGATGACCAAGAACTACTACTTTCCTCAATGACACCTAAACTTATCATACGATCAAGTTCCTCATAAACCACCTTCTGCTTGGCTGGTGAAATAGGGTAATGTCTACGCTTGACTGGTTTAGCATTGTCAGTATCAATCACATGTTCCAAAATCGTCGTTTTTCCTAGACCTAGGATTTCCGACGAAGGAAACAATTTTATCACTCTTTCGAGTTCATTATCCTGCAAATCTGTCAATTTATGTCTATTGCTGTCAATTTTGTTCTCAATTTCATTTACTTCCAAATTTAGTGATGAATCCAAGCCAAAAATTTTCCAAAAATTAAATCCTAAGTAAAGTTTTTGTGAAAGTCCGGGACAAATATAAAAAGTTATAGGTTCACAACGGTTATTAAATGTCACATCTGTAATAATTTTCCCTACAATAGGCATTGTGGAACCACTAGCAGTTTTAACTTCAGAACGAAAATCACTAATTTGAACATTGTGATCCTTTAAGAATTCAATTGAATCACAACCTAAAACAGAAATAGTAGCACCACTGTCTAATAAGCCTTTCAGTTTGTCACCAAAAATCTCAACCTCTGCAAAAGGTCTAATGTCACCATTTTCACCACTAATTATAGCACTTTCTACTAATTTATGTTCACTTCTAAGCTGTTTATGTCGCTGTCTGGTTTTTAAGATTTTGCCTGATATTTGTCCAAAATCTTCATCGTCAACTTCCTTAAAAATTTTGGTCCTAACCTTTAAATAATCTGCCCACCTGTTATGGAAATTATCCTGAACGTCCTGTGAAAATTTCGATAACTCTGATTCCGGGGTATGATTTACTGAACAGAATCCCCGGATTTCCTGTTCTTCTTGAAGTTTCCCTCAGCACAAAAAGGACAGTTGGAAAACACATAGTTATCCCTACCACACCGATAACAAAATACTCTTCCAGATTTTTTCGTACAGTCAAAAGCAAAATGTCCCTTTTCCCTGCAATCAAAACAAGTAATGTCAGAAACATCCTTGTTTGATTTTCCTCGACTTAATGCTTCGATAAACTCATCTTTATCAGAAACTTCAGAAGAAACTTCTTCTACCAAATCAACCTCGTTAACTTTCGGCTTAAAAATTGTCCTATTAAAACCGACCTCAATTTTTGAAACATGGCGTTCTGCACGTCGACATTCTACAAGGAACTCAGGTAAAGTCTGTGATGTGGAATTATGAATAAAAATGAGCATTTTACTCGAGATGTTACGCTTCATAATTTCCATTAAATCTCTATCCGATCTTGGACAACTCATTCTCGAATTCAAATCTAACATAATATTGTAGAATTGGTCAAATGTTTCATTAGATTTCTGCAACCTATTCATCATCTTATGTTCCAAGTCGTAATCGCTTTCGCAGGATCTAAATTGCACTCCTAAAGCTGATTTCAATGAATTCCAAGTAATATTATTATTACGCTGAACCCATTGAAAATACCAATTAGCAGCTTGACCTTTCAATAACAAATATAAATTGTTAGCTACTTCCTGAAGAGAAGCACCCTGAGAAAAAGCTATATGTTCTACTCTACGAATAAAATCATCCACTCTTAGTTCCCTATCATCTCCTGAGAAATGAACATTCCATCTGTGCATTTCCAAAGATTTATTACAGATTCTGG